TACATGTGTTATATTATATTAGTTTTTATAACTTATATCATATAACTACTTGAAATATATATATATTAGTTGATAAATAATTTTATTTTTCTAATTAATATTAAAAATAATTTTATTATTGTTATAAAGATAAATATAAATTATTTTTTTTTTATACTCACAATATGGATGTTAAATCGAAGCTTATCAAAAGAAAATTAATTTGATATATTACATATGTAAAACTGATAAAAAATACAAAAGTTATTAACTTTTATAATATATATACAATTCAATAGTTATAATAAGGAATGATATTAAAATACAATTCATATATGTAACATGACCATAAATAATCAACATATTTATGGTAATCCGAACCTAATTATTATTAGTTTGAAATTAAATTAAAATTTACTCAAGCCTAATAACGAAGCATGTAATTTTGCCACATAGGATTCCGAAGCACCAGAAGCAGCCACGTAGGCTCAGCGCATTCTGTATTAATATATAGGGGGATAATAATCATGGTTACATTAATAATAAATCATGACAATGTCGTTTTTGTGTGCTAATTGTACAGATATTGGCCATGGACATTAACAAGGAGAATTATGAGTTGGGACTGCCTGTGCTAAAAAAAGCTGGTGTTGCCCACAAAGTTGACTTCAAAGAAGGCCCTGCTTTGCCTGTTCTTGATCAAATGATTGAAGAAGTAAAAACTCAAACCAAACATTTCCCCAATTTTATTCCAAAACATATTTGACTATTTTATCAAAAGTTAACAAATTTGTTTAATTATTCATACAATTTCTAGGGAAAGTATCACGGCTCATTCGATTTCATATTTGTCGATGCTGATAAAGATAACTACCTCAACTATCATAAGCGACTCATTGACTTGGTCAAAATTGGAGGTGTGATCGGCTACGACAACACCCTATGGAACGGGTCTGTAGTGGCACCGCCCGATGCCCCGTTGAGAAAATATGTTCGGTATTACAGAGATTTCGTGCTTGAACTCAATAAGGCCCTTGCGGTTGATCCAAGGATCGAGATTTGTCAATTGCCTGTGGGTGACGGGATTACCTTGTGCCGGCGTATTAGCTGATCGAGTCGCTCGAACTGTTATTTTTTCAAATTATTAAGTCATTTTCCAATTATATGGAATTTGGGATTTGAATTTGTATTTCATTTGATGAAGATGGATAATAAATAAATATGATTCGATCCAATTTTGTCACTCTTTTTTTTTTTTGCTGGTATATTATATAAATCTCGAGTTTCACCTTTATTCTAATAATTTGTTACGACGGGTAGTAAGAGTATTGTTTGTTGCATTGATAAGAGCATCTCCAATGGAGGAAAACTGTGAGGTAAAGAATTTGTTGCCACATTATGTTAGCTTATTATAAATTTATCATTAATATAGTGTGAATTCACGTACATTTAATTTGTTGTCATTTTTGACATGTATTTTAATCAACTTCTTAATAGCTGGCATTGAAGATTAGAGGGCTAGATATTGTAAACCAATCCAATACACAAGTCAAACTCATAACAAATAAAATTAAGAAAATAGTTAGTCAAATTAGATGAATTTTTAACCATATACAAATTAATAGGTTTGGCATGGTTTATAGGCAAAGTAGTTGGGTAATAGTTAGTAGCAAATAAGTTAAAAATACTTTATGACTTTGTGGTGTGACAATTAAAGAGATTTGTATTATCAATAATGATTCATGCAACCCTATCAATAGTTTGAACATGACCAAAATATATAGAGAGAAGTAGCTTGGCCAAATTATTAAAAATAATAAATAATATAATAAAAATAGTTTGTTCTTCCATATTTTTCCTCTTCCATTAAAGTTACAAATGGCAATTACAAAAATGCCAAAGGCTAATACTAATAGTTTGAAATTAACTTTGTGTTTTGAAAAAAAAAAA